GACATGATAGAAATGGCCTGAACTGTACTTCATCACATTTTTCACGACTATAATAAATTTGAAAATAACTAATAACTTGATAAACAAATACATCAAAAAATATAATATCTTGGAACGTTTGTTTACTCGCTTCATATAGGTACTCAGTTTGTAATTTTGTCATAACTAGATACAACATAAAAGTTGCAAACAAACCACTTTTAATGTATAAATAAAAGTTTACTTTTTCTATAGAAATTCACGGTTAATGTTAATGGTTCTTGTACCCTTAACGCAATAGGAATTTGTGGTATGCCATATTACATTTGCAGATGTGGTGGCTATTTCTGTGTATATGTAACTAATAGCAAATTACGATAAAATCGTGGCTATTTCAGGTGGTTTGTACACAAAACTTACTACAAGCTAAAGACAACAGATTCTACCAGATTATACGACAAATCGGCAACAGTTGCTTTCTTTTGCGCAGCTGCCTGCTGCTCCAAATTACAATTGCAATACGGTACAAATAGTTAACCATATATATACACATATCAACATGTGCATGCTTCAAATAAATCGGGCAAATTTAAATTAGGGCGTTTTATTAATAAAAAATCAAAATTTCATTTTTACGTTCAAATTCTTTGACACTTAACAAAATTTGACAACATTTTAACCTGACTCAAATTTTTCCCCAATTTTCCCCTAAAGTCCGAAAAAACATCTTACACCCAACAATTTACCAAAATTTACACTAGGCACTGGACAGATACAAATTGCGCGGTCACAAAAAAAAATGCAGAATCAAATCTTATAATTTTTCAGACAGTGGGATTTGTTGGACTGTACCTCAGGGGCGAGGGAGTTCTGTCGAAATAACCTTCTATCAATTTTTTACTTCCCCAGAATAAGCTAAGAAAGCTAAAAAAGTATTGTAATGGAGTCCATCGGGCGAAAAATTTCATATTTTTTCAATGTTTCGTAACCCCAAGGGTGCGACAACATATCTTCAATTTCCATTTGTCTGTCTGTCTGTCTGTCTATCCTCCTGTCTGGTTGTCCGTCTGTCGTCCGTGCTGATTTTTATTAGTCAGATACCTAATCACCCAAATTACTGGACCAATTTTTGTCAAATTTTAAATGTATGTTATAAATATGTATAGATGATTAAATGCTAACCATAATTTGTTTAATCATCTCCACCAACAACGGAATGACGTCATTTCCAAAATTTACAAAATAAATGTTATTTAAATTTTATAAAATAAAGTATTCCTGCACCTATGATTTATGAATCCGGGTCAAGTTTTCACTCTTGAAGGATAAAAACTTTTTAACAATATTTCGCAATTTAATTTGGACACTGCATGTCTTACAGATCTCAAAAAATTGGTGATGTAATCTCAAAATGAGGCCGAATAATAAATTCTCTCCGAATATACAAAATATGCAAAATATTATGATTGTATAATGTACACTTATGCTTTATCAATGCACTCATAAATAATAAAATACAAATTTTATAACAACATTTTGCAATTTAATTTTGAATCTGAAAAACCGACTGCTTTGAAATCTTGCGGAGAATTTAAAGTTATCGTAAGCATAGTAAATTTTTAATCAAAATATTTATATCTGCTTACCCTTACAAAAAACTGATGAAGTGATAACGTTCCCTAAAAATGTTGCCGAATAACTTCTATTGTAAATGTCCATAATAAGTTGAGTTTATACTTGTGATTTTCATTGCATATACAGGGTTATTCAGCTAAGATAACCCATTTATAGTTTTAGGCAACCCAAAATACCGATTCCACCTGAACCTGGATTACAAAAAATGTTTCAAAATTTAATTGTATCAAAGTTTGCTTGTAAGTGTATATAAATATATTGAGGTCGAGTTTGCTTATATTATAAAATACTCCTATTAGAGAAGCGTCCGAAAAACGTTACTACTGATCGTTTCTTTTCGACTGAGAATCTTAATTGGCGTCTAGAAAACTCACGTTGGTACAAAAATTCTCGAGTTGGAATAAACAACACAAGTTTACTAGATGGTGCTTTGGCGCTAGAAGACCCAATTATAACACACGACTAAAACGTATGAAATCGATAACACTTTCAGATCGTAGACTAAGAGGGGACTTGATACATACATTTAAAATTTTGAAACTTGGAATGGAAGGTCACTAAATTTTTCAGATTAAAGGATCCCAAAGATTAAGAGGGCATAGTTTGTCATTGTCCCTACCAAAATTTAAAACCGACACTATGAAAAATTTTTTTCCGGTTCGTGTAATAAAAAGTTGGAATAGGTTACCTACGGAAATAATAGATGTGGAAAATGTTAATTGTTTAAGAATCGCATTGATAAGTTCTTTCAATGGTAATACAAGACACATTGATATTCTATTGAGTTATATAGTTCCAAAGGAACTCTACTCTATATAATAATATAATAATATGAATAATAATAATAAATAAGTTATCGTCATGGATTAAAGAAGCAGCTAAAAAAATTGGACTACACACAGCAAATAAGAAATTTACAAACCATAGTGGTAGATCCACACCAGTAATATATTTGTCCAATGCAAATATTCCCTATCAACAATTGGTAAAAATCACGGGTCACGGCAACTCTAATTGTATTCAATCTTACTTAAATATGCAGCCATCTCGGCACGAAGAAATTCATTCCTTCAAAATCATTCTTCAAGAGAAACAAACTCTGAAACAAATAATTTCAGAATTTCTACTTCTACGTTTTTGGAAAATCAAGAGTTGTATTCAAAAACTGTACTTTTAATGTTAAAAGTATGTATTGTACCTTAATTCTCATAATCGTTTTGATCAATACAAATGTGTATTTTGTTGCAAAATGTTTATTGTGAAACTTTTATGTGGTGATGTTCATTCATTATATTCTCATGTCGAATATAACTCGTGATATGATTAATAATAATAATCGAAGATATGGCTCGTGAAAACGAAGCAGCACATTCAACTCGTGCTTCACACTTTGAATCTGCAGTTCGGTTTCACTCTAAATGTATCGTATCAGTTGTTATATTATAAAATATAACTGACAACAATATCTTGAAACGATCTTCTTCAATTAAAGACTTGGGAGTATCTGATACGCAATTTAGTTTTAAGGATCATGTTAACAACTTAGTTATTGATGCCATGAAAAACTTGGTTTCATCTTTAGAAACTGCAAGTATTTCACCAACGGCAACCAACACTTTTAAAACCTTTATACTGCGCTGGTCCTTCCTAAGTTGGAATATTGCTCACTAGCGTCGTATTATTACAATTACCAGATTCAACAACGCGAGAACAAATTTTTAAAGTACATGTTGGTCCTTCGAGCCGGATCTCTTCAAATGTGTAATCCAGTGCTGTGAATTCAACAATAAAACGCGGTGGTGCCATTTTTCGACGCCTGTATCGGGAGACGTGATCTATCGGCCATCGGAGTTCCCTACCGGACAGGAGAGCAGCGAATTCAGCCCATCCAGTCGTTTTATCCAAGGTTCCAAGTGACCTTATCACATTTTTGGCAATTTTCGACGCCTGTATCGGGAGACGTGACCTACCGGGCATCGGAGTTCCCTACCGAGCAAGAGAGCAGCGAATTCGGCCCAGTTTTACGTATTTCAACTGATTGGTTTTTCAAATGGTTATGACGCGTTCGCAAAGTTTCGAGACTCTACACATGGCAGGCGCGGAAGGCGAAGACAATGCCGAAACATTTTCGGACTTAAATCTTACACCAGAGGACTCACATGCAGCAAATTTACAAATTTTACTCTTAAAAAGAGATCGAATTCACGACGAAATATCGCGTTTTAAGTTGTGGTTTGAAACAAACAATTACAGTACATCCGCTTCTCGACTGAGAGTAAAATTGCGCGATTTTGTACGCATTAAGGCTCAGTTTGACGAAATCCATTCTCAGATTGAAGCTCTTGATGACGCTACTCTCGATTTAGAACACGCTAGAATAAAACTTTATTTCGAAAATGCGTATTACGATTTATGTGCAGATGTCGAAGATGCTATTGAACAAAAACGCGTTGACACATCTTCACCTGCACCGCAAGGTATCGCACCTACGAGTACACCGTCACCATCGGTGCAATTGCTCCCGATTGTTATTAAACCGTTTAGCGGAATTTATACTGAATGGCTACCTTTTTACAATACTTTTAAAACATGACGATACACGACTGACCAAAATTCAGAAATTTCATCATTTAAACAATTCTTTGTGTGGCGACGCAGTAAACCCGTTAACAATTTCTGAGGCAAATTATGATGTAGCGTGGAAATTGCTCAAGGACAGATTTGAAAACAAACGATTAATCGTCCAGCACCACGTGACCAATTGGTTTAATTTACCTCAAGTCATTAAAGATTCGTCCAGTTCAATGCGACAGTTATTAGATACCTTTAATACAAATCTTGAAGCTTTAAAATCTTTTGATATCGAAATAAATCCGTCATATGTCTTACTTATTTATTTATTAACATCCAAATTAGACTTTATCAGCCGCAGGGGTTGGGAAGAATCTTTGACTACCAACGAATTACCAACTAAAAAACAGTTAATTGATTACTTGACACAACAGTGTCATTTGATGGAATCGATGGAGTTGAATAAATCGCAATTTAAAACTAATCATACGTATAATAATAATCAAAAAACAGAACCGAAATCATTTTCAAAGCCCCCACAAAGGGTATCTACATTTACAGCGGCAGTAAATCGCAATAGCACACAATCCACTTGTTATTTTTGTAAAAAATCTCATTCTATTTACAGTTGCGTTACTTTTTTAAAACTCAGTGTTTCGCAAAGAGGGTCTCAGGTAGATAGATTGAAATTATGTCAAAATTGTCTCAAACCATCGCATACGTCCGACTGCTGTAAATCTATGCCATGTAAATTATGCCAATTGCCAATACACTTTTACATAGTGACCAACGCTCCCATTCAAACGAAAACCAGCCTAGTACCAGTGGAGTTTATTGCTCATCCACCTTTTTCCACAAGCCGTTTTGTCTACAGCAATAATTCTAATAAAGGATTGTAGAAACAAATTTCAAAAATTCCGGGCTTTGTTAGACGTGGGTTCAGAATCGCATTTTATTACTCAAGCCGCCGCTAACAAATTGGGTTTAAGTACACAAAATGCAAATGTGGTTGTAGCAGGTATTCAGTGTTCAAATACGACCGCCAGACAAAAGGTTCAGGTACAGATCGAGTCGTTGCATTAATCATTTACAACAGCTCTAAATTGTCTAGTAATTCCCAAAATTTCTAAGAACATACCTAACCGTACCTTTTCTAAAGATGAGCTGGACATACCTGAAGCGGTAAAACTTGCCGATCCTAATTTCAATTTGTCACAGCCAATCGATCTGTTATCTAAGGTCTGAACTAACTTCGTACGAAAGATGTTGACAGCTTGATTTTATAAATAATTCACAGGAGATAACGAAAGGAATAGTAAATTATGGGGCAACAATTGTGATCCGTTATGATTACATCACTTAAAATAGGATCTTTGTTCTAAATTCTAAAATTGTTTCTCGTACAAGAACTCGAAAGAGAGGTTAGAAGAAACATCTGTCAAAAGCGATTTGTTCCGCTGATGCGGTACAAGGAGGAAAGTCAAATAGACATATACAGATGAAATGCATATAACAAAGATGAAGATGTGGTGATCACACAAAGATAGCATTATACTTAAATGATCAAAGGAACTTACCTTAAGTGAAGTTCGATCATAATTATGCTAGGCATCTGGCTCGAAGATATCATAAAAGAAGACATGTAGTATCGCTTTCTGGTACTGCTGGCACTAGGTTTAAAGAGTGGAGAAACTCTGGTAGACTCCCCTCTCCCTCCACAATCGGTGCGGTATGGGTTCATTACTTTGAAGGGATTTGTAACAATCATAACTAGCAGGTAAATGTTGATAAGTACGACCATCACATTTAGGGTTTTGGGGCGGGTTATGATATCTTCGAGCCAGATGCCTAGCATAATTATGATCGAACTTCACTTAAGGTAAGTTCCTTTGATCATTTAATTATGCGGCGGCATCTGGCTCTCGTATATCATAAGAGAAGACATGTAGTTGTTTAAAGCGTTAGATTGTTACAAAACTGGGTACTGCTAAACGTAAACCGAACAATGGGTATTTTGCCATAACGGGGCTAAAGTTAGCTGACAGGAAAACTGCTGGAGAAAAAATTAACTCAGTTTCGTTGAGATAATTGAGTAATGTGGTTGCGGCACATATATAAGGGTTTTCCTGAAAGAAGGGTAGCTGAAGACAGGGTTGCGTTCCAGTCCAGGACGAAGTTTTGATTGTCTCCGTTATAAAAATTTGGATACCATCCGAGGACCGTTTGATGTTCGAGAGGCGAATTAAATGAATCGACTGGGTGCGATGTCCGGTTGTCAATAATAACAGTGTGGCAAGTTTTTGGGACAACTGTTTCAAGGTCAAGTTATCAGTGAAGAAATTTCCCAAATAGTCCAGAACGATTTGGGGGTCCCAAGTGAAACGATATTTCCTTTCAGATGGTCTTAGCTGGGAAATACCCTTCATGAATCGTTTAGCGAGAGGGTCAGCCCCGATGTCGTAATTCAGAGTTAACGCGAGCGCCGAGCGGTGACTGTTAAATGTTCCATATCTGCAACCTGTAGTCCAATACGTGGTGAAGAAAAACAAGAACTTGACTGGGCGTAGCCGAAAACATCGGCACCTTGAGTTCAATGCAGTAAGACCACCACATTTTCCACGTAGAATTATATTGTGATATTGTTGACTTGGCCACCGAATGGATGATGGTATTTATGGCTTCCTCAGGAACATTTCGGAAACTAAATGCTTGGCTGATAAGAGTCCTGCTACCAGGGTAAGCTGAGTTGACAGGGGGTGTGGTCGACTGCAAGGTAAAGATCACAAATCTGAACTTGGCGCAAACGTAAGAGGATCCTGTGTAAGTAACTTAAAGAAAAGGGGATCCAAGGTTGTGTGGGCCAGAAAGGCACAACCATAATGCCCTCCGCTTGGTCATTCACAATTTTGTTGAGGCCCCTCAAAATTAAACAAATTGGAGGGAAGGCGTAAAAGAAGAAGCCTGTCCATGGAATTGTGAAAGCATCGCGCAGTAGAGATACGTATCTTCGACACTTGTGGTTAGCTTTAGAAGCAAAGAAATCAATTTTTGGAGCACCAAATCGTAATGTGATTTGGTTGAAGGCTCCGTCCGACAACTCATATTCGGTTTCCTCGGGAAGCCTGCGTGATGTCGTGGGGATGTTCGTTCACGGCACGCAGCTCGTGACCCGAACTTGTTGAAGGTTCGTCCGCGCCACGCAGCACGCGACCCGAACTTCCGAATCTGCTACTGTATTTTTCCCCGAGTTAATATATGAAGCAAAAAACCATAAATTTCTTTCTTCGCAAAATTCCCAAATATCTCTTGCTAGGTTAGACAGCGCTGGGTATTGTATACTGCCCATGCGGTTTATGTATGATAAGGCAGTCGTATTGTCCGTTCTGATTAAAATGCTGCAAGATTTTTTATACTTTGCAAAGGATTTTAATGCGTAAGCAATTGCCAAAAGTTCTAGATAATTTATGTGATGTTGTGATTCAGTAGCAGTCCACCAACCATGTGTCTTTTCTTCGTCGCAACAGGCTCCCCAGCCAGTAAGAGACGCGTCAGTATAAATTACAAAGTCGTAGTTGTCAAAACGTATGTCATTGTGAGAGGTCTGAATTGCTGATTCCCACCATAAGAAATCATTCTGCAAGGTTGAAGAAAGGGACATGGAGGTGTCATAATTCATATGGTGATCTCTTAACGCTTTGAACTTCTCCCGCTCGAATGCTTTAGTGTACATTAGTCCGTACTTTATCGCCGGACAGGCCGGTACAAGTGTCCCTATAAACTGGGCAAAAGCCCTAATTGAACAGCGGCTTCGGCTTTTAAAATCGCGAATCATATTAAGAGTCTTCTTGCGCTTTTCTAGAGGAAGGGAAATTGTCATGGTGTGGCTGTCCAAGATGAAACCCAAGAATTTGCCTCTCTGCGATGGAATAGTTTGGCATTTATCCCAATTGATTAAAAAACCCCAATGAAGTTAACACCTGGACAACCACAAAGACATTTCGAGAGCAAGCATCCCCCGAGTTCCCAAAGATGAGAAAATCGTCCGGGTAGATCACGCAACAAATGCCACGAGAGCGTAAACGGGATGCAATAGGGCGTGTGAGTTTTGTAAAAACCAAATGGCATACAAGTGAATTCATATAATTGGCCATTATGTTCGCACCGAAGATATTTTCGATGTTCAGTGTCTACGTTTATCAGAAAATAGGCATCCTGCAGGTCAATCGTAGACATGTAGCAGCCCTTTTGCATTAGCCGGGCGGCTGTTCGATGATCTTCCATTTGAAGATGAGAAGTGGCCACAAATGTATTTAGTTGCTTAAGATTTAAAATGAAACGATCTTTCCCATTCGGTTTTTTGACTAGAAAAATTGGGGAAATGAACTGATCGTTGCGTGGCAGGCATTTGCGGACTGCGCCCTAAGCTAACAGGTGCTGGACGGCGCGGGTGATTTTTCCCTTTTCGGAGACAGAAAAATTTTAGCGCCTGGGAGTAAAGCGTTGCCGAACTTCCCGAGAAAAAGGAATTTTATACCCCGCTATCGGCCCAGCAACGTTCGGCTAGTAGAAATTGACCGCCATACTGAATGAAAATTCCGCAGGCGGCCTGCTATGTGTGGTACCTGTGTTAATGGTGGTGCCTTTTCCGTTGCTGGGTGTACGAGGGAGTTTTCGGTCCTTTTTTTCCTCTCGGTTAGGTCGTCCCCAAAAAGAAATTCACCTGGAGGGGAGCTCGCGTCGATTTTTAGATAAACAAAACATCAGGTGGGTAAACCTTGCCCGGCTTGGGTGAGAAGCGGCAAAACTTGACTTGTGGAGGTGTTGTGATTTGTAATAGTTTCATTAATGCTTTTCCCCAGGAAGCTAAGCCCCTGGCTCAACTGGGCTTGAGCGGCGCACCGAGAGTCGTCACGGGTTTGATTTGGGCCCGACAAAATAGTTCTGACGATCGGATTCAGTTTTGGTGGGCTTAAGAATTCGCCATTAGACGGGATGACAACGTCTTTCAAAAGGGTCGATTTTTTGGCCGGATCTAAGCCCTGACAGCAAATTCTTTCCCAGCTGGCTGACAAGGTCGAGTGAAACTGATACGGGGCAGCTGCTGATGGGCCGGTCTCACCGAGCATTTCCAGTACGTGCGGATCGAGCGCCACGTCATCGTGTTCCTGGAATACCGGTTGTGCAGCGTCAAGGTTAGCTTCTCGATCGCTTAAGTGCGTAGGTTCAGACTGCACGGCTGGTTAGAATGACAACCTATTTCACCTGCAGCACCGAATGCAGCCGAACCAGGCGTTGCCGTGCCACGCAGCTCGTGACCCGAACTTGTTGAAGGTTCGTCCGCGCCACGCAGCACGCGACCCGAACTTGGGGAATACCTTGGGGGACTTCGATGTCGTTCAGCTTCGAGTCTTCGCAATCGTTTCCAAAGTTCTCGGCGGTCGTCCTCTGAGCTGGAGGAAGAGCGATGACGACGTTTGCGGGATTTGTGATGACCCATTGTTCAGTCCCAGACGACGAGCGGACGTGCGACGTGCCAAGCTCGAGCACTAGAAAACGAATGTACCCATACCGCACCGATTGTGGAGGGAGAGGGGAGTCTACCAGAGTTTCTCCACTCTTTAAACCTAGTGCCAGCAGTACCAGAACGCGATACTACATGTCTTCTCTTATGATATACGAGAGCCAGATGCCGCCGCATAATGCTCCCCTTGACGTAGAAAACGACAACAGATAGCTTCATGTGTAGTCACAGCTTTCAATTTGAGTATTGGTATCCATTTATTATATGATCTAAGGGTTCTGGTGCTCATTTTGGAATCAACAAAATTCTTTCCAATGTCAGGGAGAGATTCTACTGGGTCCGTTGCCGGGAAGACATCGAGAGCTGTCGCAAAAAGTGTAGGACCTGTACGGCGGTTAAAAGACCAAAGATTAAGGCGAGATTTAGACCTACACGAGCCTGTTTGCAATTTGTAGAAACAGTTAAGTTTCATTAAACAGGAACATAGCTTTTAATAAAGCGAAATTTAAGTTTTTTCATTTCCAATTTGGAAACTGTATATCAGAAATTCAACGCTCACTCTACAAAGGTCTTTAATATAGACGAAACAGGAATATTCACTGTGCATATACTAGGGCAATGTTGCTTGAAAAAGGTCTTAAACGATGAGTAAAATTCAAGAAGTACAAAATAAAGTAAAAAAACCATTACTAGGATGATGATAGCAAAGGACCACGAAAACAAGTAGATGAAAAACAAGCAAATGATAAACAAAACAAAATAAATAGATTAAAATTTGTTGGAATGACCGTAATAACGAACTACAGTTTTGATGCACTTTATGTTCCCAATGCGGTTTGCTCTGATTCTGACGCCGTGGAAGGTTTTATTTGCGATAATTGTCGATAAATGAACTATCGCAATTTCTCCACGTGTATATCGTATGTCTGGGGTAATATTGATTTTGCAACGTTTTTTTAATTAATTATTTTGTGCGTGTTTCGAAATTTGTTTTTCTAATTAAATATGTTTTTTTTTTAATAAAGAGATACCTAAGCTACAATTGCTCTTTTAATGACAACTTTGGCTCATTACAGACCAAAACAGACACTACTTTACTTACGGTGTCGCAATTTCTCCAGCTTCCCCTAGTCCTATTCCCGATAACAAAGAAAAGTTGAACTGGCAAATTGTTCAGTAATACTAATAACTTTTATCCTTCTTTCTAACCATGAAGTAATGAACTATTTAATTTCACCATATATTTTATTAACTCCGTAAATGATATCATCTGTGGCTTGTTGACTCGCGTATGAGGATCTACGGACTGCTCCTACCTTTTTGTCGAAAAACTTCAACTCCGAGCGCTTATGAAGAAGAACCAGTACACGGCTACTTTTCAAACAAACAGTCACAGAACGTTGGGTTACATATATCACAACTGCGTCACCACTTTTTACGTAATTCTAATAAAATAATGAGTTATTTTACCGGGTAGGTATTTTCATTGTAAAGTTTTTGCAAATGATAAACATATATCGTTAAATAAATGTTAGAAAAATTTTGTCATTCTCGTAAAACTAAAGTTTATACTTAACGTTTTATTTTTGCTTCTACGTCTACCTCTCGACGAAAAAAGAAGTTAGCTCGAGGCGAAACGCTTTCCTTGATTATAAATTTCTAAAGTAAAAATGCGGAAATATCTTGAAAGAAAACATAATTTTATCGACAAAAAGTGCTCGTTCTGTTTCCCTGGCGCTACACGTAAAAAATATCGGATAAGCCCGGTCGTAAAAATACATCTCTGCAACCCTCCGACTTTTCGCACTATCAATTATCCACAACGCACCCTCTGACACGCCCAATATCTTAACTAAACGATTTCATTTGAAGGAATCTCAAAAATTACGAAGAAAATAGAAAGAAGCATTTTATTGCTTTGGCCCTCATTACAATAATTGCTACTAACAATAAAATAGACATAAATGTCGGAGATTTTATTAAGTAGTAATTTTACTTTTGCTTTTCTGAATTTTAGAATAAGAGGTGGTGTAATTCCTCTCGCCGCTCTTTAATTAGAGATGTTCAAGAGTACACCTCTTAAATCACTTTTTTCAGCATCGCGTAAACTAATTAAAAGTAAACAATCTCGGCGAAGGAATAAAGTCAACGGAGAGAATTTATTCTTATTTTATGATAGGAGTAGATATTTGTACAAACCAGAATTTTATAAGACAGTATTCAGGCGTACAGTTCACGTTATTATTAGTTGAGTTTATTAAAAAAAGATAAAATATTCTCTGTTAAGCTAATTTTCAATCGAAAATTTTTCACTTTAAAGCAGTTGTTGGTTTTCGTGTTATTATAAAAGGATTCGTTATTTCAAATATTGAATTTAGGTGTTGTAGATATGAAAATATTTCTTGGTTAAATTACAACAAACAAACAAAGCCATGTTGCAATATTGTCGCTTCAATTCAATGACCCACACATCAAACCGTAAGCCCGACCGGATCTGCTGTTATAATGGATTAAAAGCAAACATTCTAACGTTTTCTGTATACCACAGGATTAACATCCTCTCTCTAATTAATGATATTATGTACATGTCGTGCCACCGCTAAAGCCACATTCTAGTTGACTTAAAAGTTATGTATTAATTAAGAAATGACAGGTATTTTACGAAAGACAAGTGTTTTTTACTTCGGAGCTTAAGTAAAGGAAGCATTACAATCATATCGACTGGTTACTTTCATGTTTTCTCGATGGGTCATAACCTCCAAAGTAGCAAAAAATAGGTCTATAGTTTCCGTCTGTCTGTCTGTTCATCGTCCATATGGATTTTTGTTAGACAGATATTGTCTACGAACCGATTGCTCTCAAATTTATATCATGTATGTGTATTATGAATATCATGTAGAAGTAGATGGTAAAACGCTGATCAAACTTTGTCTGATCATCCCCATCAACAGCGTGATGACGTTGTCTCAAAATTTTACCGAATCAATTCAATCGAAAACGTGCAAAATATAATGGGTCTATACTTATGAATCATCATTACATTCATAGTTTTAGAATGCGTCCATTTATTTTATTGAATACATCAGGAACTGCAAAACCGAATACTTTGAAATGTTGCAAACTTTTTAATGTTATCGTAATCATGGTAAATCGTTAATCAAAATGTATGAATTTATCCCTCATGGCGTCATCTCAAAATTTTATCGAATAAATCCTCTCTAAGTTATGCAAAATCTCGTCACTCTATACTCTAATTGCATTCGTATTTTTTAAATGTGCTTAAGCAGGTGGCTCAAAAAAATTGATGAATCGATCAGTTTATTTTATTGCTCAAATCAAGAACGACTCACTCTATTTTCCCGAAAATTTGGGAACACAATACTGTTATAATTACTATCACACTACATCAATCTAAAATGAAACACGTGTCCTTGCAAAAATGTTGATGACGGCATCACAAAATTTTGTTAAATAAAACTTGAAGCATATATGTAATGCGCTTCTTTACATTTACTTTAACATTACATAGGTATTGACATATGTTTATTTCAACTTACAGGGGTTCTCATACAAAAAATAAATTCGTGAAATCAAATTTTATAATTTTACGAAAATGCGGGATATGTTTCATTCAAGGACGAGGGAAGTAGTTTAAACAAATTCTAACTAAGTATAATAATAAAAAATTGGCAGCAATTATGTTCCGTAGTAAAGTTATCAAAAGGGTGTTTTATAAATTTACTTTTTATTAAAAATTGCACAAACTTATTTTAGTTGTATGATTTTATACTTTTCTATTTCTTGTGGACCCTTTAGCAAACGACGCGACGTATGTGATATAGATTGCACGTAAGACAAAAAGGTGTGAAATGACTTTTACTGTTATACGATTTGAGGTTTTTTGTAGCCTGTAGATATGAAACGATATTCGGAAAAGTAATATTTGTGCTTGATCCTTGACACGCTTTATTGCCTACGTGATGTCAATATTCAACTCAGCCTTTGGCTATTTCACATTCACACCCTTTCACACTGACTTTTTATTCCGCACTATGGAACCTCAGCGGACTTGTCCGAAACAGATAGAAAGAGAATACTTTTACACAATGCTTGAAAAATTTAAGTCAATGAAATATTACTTAGAGAACTGATACGTACGCTTCTTTCAAAAAGTCGTAAATTTTCCCAATTTAAATTCCAGTATAAAAAATTGAATATCCACAAATATCTATAATAAATTAATCGAGTCGGAACTGATATTGCTCGTATGTTTCATAATTTTCACAGGCCACAGTAACAACACAGTGTAATAAATCCTGAAATAGCGCATTCATAGCCATAACAATAACATTTGTGCTTCCCTCCATGATGTGGTGTTGTGAAGATATTTGATTAAATTATATGGCCAAATTTGCGGTGGGGAATACGAAACTGGATGTTACAAATTTAATGCTAATTTTATTAAATAAAAATTAACTTTCGGAACCAAGATTTTTAAAATAAAATAAAAAGTTTACAATAGCTATTAACATACCGTTTGAAATCAGAGCGTTAGCGAGGATTTTAAGACGGCTAAGGCGAGTATGGTATCGTTTACATCCGTGGTGTGTTTAAGATTTTATCGGTTTTTGCCCTTTTTAATCCAATAATCCAAAAATTAATTAAGAAACAAATAAATTTGGTTGATCACGTTTGCATGATATATTTCGATGTCATAGTTACATTTTCTTGTTTATTCAAAAAAAATTTGTAAACAGAATTAAAAAAATAATAGATTTAGGCGTCGTATTGCCCGAAAATGTTAAAAATGCAACCAGTCAAGCATTAAACAGTTTAAATAAAACCGGTACAGCTACTTACAATTATTGCTTATCACAATTCATTGCTTTTCAATTTTTTTACAAATGTTGACAATTGACATTTCGGTAAGGTTATATATTACCCTACCAATTTTACATACAGGATACAGTTATGGCTTTCCTACCAGCCAACTTTCATAAATGTAGACAGAAACCGGTAAAGTTATTTACCAGAATTTCTCTCGAGCTTGATGAACTATAAATATAAGATAGGTAGGTACATGTTAAAAAAAATGTTTATTCCTTGAGTGTAAGCTAGAGCAGTATTGTAATAGGATCTATCCGGCGAACGACTAATTTCGTATTTTCTGTGTGTTTTTTAACCTCCACTATATGAAAAACTGGGTTTCCCGTTTGGGT